TCTTTATTTTCCACCTGATAATGAGAGTTTAAAGTCCTTGTACCCTCCCAGGTGCTGTGGGGAGCTCCCACCTCATCCCAAACATAATTTGGAGGTGGCCTCTGAGCACCCGGAGTCAGAGCAAATGTGAGTTCTGCAGAAATTCTTGGCAGTCTTCCCACAGCTCCCCTACTCCTGAAATTAAAGAACCGAGCCACAACAACCTCAGCATCTGAATTAAAGTGAGCTCTATTTACTGGTCATGCTAATTGAATTCGATGAACTCCAGGCTGGAGGATAAGCAGAGCCTGCCCTCACGGTTCCTGGGTTTATTCTAATTTACTGTTCTGACAAACACTCACCAGTGGGGCTTCAAAGCAGAGGAATTTGGTCCTGGGTTGTTTTCATCCTGCCCTGACAAGGCTGGGTGGGAATTCGGTGGAGTTTTTGGGAATTGTGGTGTGGAAGTGGTGGTGGATCCAGTGCAAAGGCTGAGTTTCCTGCTCTGGAGCTGGGATGCAGAGCCCCAAGGCAGTGCCAGGCTGTGGTGGCAGTGCCAGGCTGTGGTGGCAGTGCCCGGGGTGACACCAGTGTCACAGAGGGTGGTACCAGGGATGGGAGCAGCTTCTCACCCCACATCTCTGTAGGGCAGGACCCAGCCTCACCCTTGGCTGCTGCAGGATCCATTCCCTCGGTGCTGTTCCCCATCCCCACCCAAAATTTGGGGGCAGCCAAGGGTTCCATGAAGGGACAGGACAGAGGTGTGGGTAGGGAAGGAGAGCACACCACCCTCAATAACACCATCAAGACAAACTTAATTCAAAAAATTCAGGCAGGAGGCTTCAATAAGCCCAGAGGACCCTGCCAAGAGTCACACTCTCCATGTCCAAGTGCACAAAAGCTGGACATGTAAGACATGAAGAAAGCACTGTCAGGGCAGGCCAGTGCCAGCCAGCAAATCTGTAACAGTGGGAACATGAAATATTAATCACTGGTGCATAAAACAATAGGAAAAAGCTGCCTTTTGGGGCAGCCATCCATCCTCACTCAGCAGGGAACATCAAGAGACACTAATACCATACAGGTTCTGCTTAAATATTTGCCTGCCCTAATGGTCACGCAAGAAGCATTTGCTTTGAAGTTGAAAATAGACTGTAAATGTCTTTTGTGTGAGATGAAACATGATAAGACATGAAACCAGGAGGCTAAACTGTAGTTAATCACGGCGGCTTTACAAGCAACAAATCATTACCGCAGACAGTCAAGTGGATCGTTTGAAAGAGCAGCCACGTGGGGAGAGAGCCCCGGCGGGCATGGCCCTGGCCGCGGGGGTTTGGGCTCGTGGCACTTTGGGGTGGCCACGGGGCTGGCTGGATGCTCACAGGGCTGGGATGATGCTGGTGAAGGGCTGGAGCAGTGCTGGGAAAGCTGAATTGGTGCTGGTAGAGCCGGATTGATGCTCTCAGGTCTGGATTGATGCTCCCAGGTCTGGATTTACACTGTTAAGGCTGGACTGGTGCTGGCACAAGCCTGGAATATTTTCCCTGGTGAACCCTTCCCCAGGGCCACTGGTGATGTGGTTTGGGGTCACCCAGGAGCAGGGGAGGGCAGCAGAGCTGTGACATTCCCATGTGACATTCCCATGTGACATTCCCAGGTGACATTCCCGTGCTGGCTCCATCCCACTGCACAGGGGGGGTCAGTCCCACCCCAGCCAGATCCTGGGACACCCACAAGGAACCCCCAAAAACTTGGGATGCTGCTGGGATGAGGGGGAAGCCTGTGGTGGACACAGCTCTCCAGGCACAGAATATGGAATTGTTAAAGCTGGAAAAAACCTTTCAGCTCATCCAGTCCATCCAGCAGCACCACCCATGGTCACTCACATCCTCCGGGGCCACATCCACAAATTCTCAAATTCTTCCAGGGCTGGTGGCTGCACCAACCAGCTCCAGGGCTTTACAACCTTTTCCTCAAAAAGATTTTCCTATGATCCCACCTAAAGCTCCCCCGTGCAGCCAGTGCTGAGCACAGGAACACACCTGGGACAGGCATTTCCCACATCAAAAATGAAGCTCATGATTGCAGGCGATGCTCACTTGGGAGCAGGAGATGAGACCCCAAAGCGAGTGTCTAAGTATGACTGATTAACAACTAAACCCTCACTAATTGCCTTGAAGAGTCAGATCTCGACAGCCAGGGAAGGGGAAAAAAAAAAAAAGGATTAAAATTTTCCTTGGGCTAAACATTTTTCTGGCGTGCTCAGACTCGCTCTGGATGTCTCCAGTCATTATCTCCCTAATTAACACACACCACAAACCAAAAACAAATTTCCCCACCTTGTGGCTCTGGGAGGTTTAGGCCAGACTTGGGGAATGGGATCAGGCAGTGAGAGGTGGGATTTGGGATGGGGAGATGAAGCTATAATTGGTGAATGAACTGGAATAAACCTCGGATTTTCTCCAGCTGGAGGTGCTGGAGGACAGGTGAGGTCTGGCATGGAGCAGGTGAGGTGATGGAGGCTCCTCTCCTCATTCCAGCCCTGTGTCACCAGGAAATCATGATGGGGTAGGACTTTTCTTAATTTCCACCCCTTTATTTCCTGTAATTAACGCAAAACCTGCATTTTCATAGCCCCCAAAAAAACCCAAATAATCCCTTTGAAGCAAACTGATACCAAAGGCCACCAAAGGGATGGGACCTGGCCCAGCTTGGGATGAAGGCAACGTTTGCTGGGAATGCCAGAGCATCCCAAATCAGGCTGTGCTCTCTGTCTGAAAGGATGTGTAACTCCCCAAAAAAAGTGCTGCTTTGAGGTCTTGTGTTTTTATAGTGGGAAAACGTGCGGCTCAAAGGAGAAAATTAAATAAAATCACACAAATATTAAAGGAGTTATCCCTGTGATGCTGGGCAGCCACTGGAAACACGACCGGGAATTCCAGGGATGCAGGAGGAGCAGCCAGGCACTGGCTCCAAGGAATAGCGGTAATTAGAGCTTCCGAGTGCCTCCAGGTCATTTTCCTTTTCCTCGGATAACATCATTTCTATAGGGCTCGTTGTCTTATTAGAGAATTAATCTAAATCTTGGCGGGCTCTGGATGCTTTGCCGGCGGCTGGAGCCATCCCGAGGAGGGTCAGGGGCAGGTCCCGTGCGTGGCATGTGGGGGAAAAAAAAAAAAAAAAAACCGACAAAACTCAAAAAGGGAGGTCAGCTGGAGGCTACGGAGGAGGAAATGAGTGATTTCTTAAGCAATCAGGGAAGTTCGTGTCGGCCTGGAAACGTAATTTAATTTGTGTCGTTAAAGCCGGGCTGGGGCGGCTGCTCCCGACTAAGCAAAATCCTCTCGTTAAGGCAGAATTGTCATTAGTGGGATAATTAAATGAGGAGGAATGGCAGAGGGAATGCCCGGGCCATGGAGTGAGGGGGGGGGATGAGCAGAATTTTGAGTGTCCAGGGGTTCGGGGAGATGGGATGGGATTGATGGGATGGGATGGGATGGGATCCATCCTGCGGGATTGCATCCTGAATCCTCAGCACCATGTGCTGCCTGGAGCTCTCCACCCTCAGCTCTTTAAAATTCCTGCTAAAATCCCATCTCCAGCCAGATTTCCATGAAAATGTCCCAATCCTATTTACACCATCCCCGGGGGGTTTTGGCTCCGGGGATATTTCCTTGTTGCTGCAGGGGATCCCACAGGAGCATCCTCCTCCTTCCCGTCCCTCTCTGCAAGGATTAGGAAAGGCACTTGCACCCTCCCGTGCCCGCATCCACAAACTGCAAGGAAGCGTGGAATTCCAGCTGGATCCCTCCTGGAAAGGCAGGAATGGAGGAATTCCAGCTGGATCCCCCCTGGAAGGGCAGGAATGGAGGAATTCCAGCTGGAATTCTGGCTGGATCCCCCCTGGCAGGGCAAAAATGGAGGAATTCCAGCTGGATCCCCCCTGGCAGGGCAAGAATGGAGGAATTCCAGCTGGATCCCTCCTGGCACGGCAGGAATGGAGGAATTCCAGCTGGATCCTTCCTGGAAAGGCAGGAATGGAGGAATTCCAGCTGGATCCCTCCTGGCACACGCTGCCCACCATGGGGAGGATGCTCTGCCATCCCCTCACCCCTGGCATTCCCAAAGTTTCCTCCCACTGCAGCATCGCAGGGGAAATCACTCCAAAAATCCCTTCCTTCCACACTTCCAGGGTTCACCTGGGTGTCCCCCTGATCTGGGAGAATCCTGGGATGGTTTGGGTCCAAAGAAACGTCCATCCTTCTACTGTCCCAGGCTGCTCCAAGCCCCGTCCAGCCTGGCCTTGGGCACTTCCAGGGATCCAGGGGCAGCCACAGCTTCTCTGGGCACCCTGTGCCAGGGCCTGCCCACTCTCACAAGGAAGAATTCCCGTTCAATATCCTAAAATCCAAGGATTAATCAGTCAAAAAGCAGATTGGACCTTCGGACTGGAACCTGGTGAATAATTAGAGCTGGAGGTTTACCAGAGGTGAGGGCAATGGGGACAGAGCTGGCACCGGCTCCTGAGCTCCAGAGGGAACTTCACCACCCTGGAGCAGGGAACTGGAGTCTGGCAAAGCCCAGCTCAAACCTCCAGGCTCCAGGGATCCGGGATCCAGCTCCAATGGGGTGAAAATCCCGTGTGGGGATGAGGGTTGTGGCTTCCAGTCCTGCACAGCTTTGTGTGGGGAAGTCCTGGTGAGAAACTCAGCTGCCTGTGCCCAGAAAATCCTGACAGCCCAGGAAGTACCAAGAACACACTTGGAACTAAGCTAAAACTGGCTTCATTTGGGAAAAAAAGTGCTGAATGGAGTGAAAAGGAAACCTTCCCAGTGGAGCTTTGGCTCTGGGAATGCCCAGAGGCCTCCAGTGCATCACAACCTCCTTTGTCACAGCAAACTCTGGGGAAATGGGAGCAGATTCCAGGTAAAACCACCCCCAGCCTCCCATCCCTGCAGCCACAGAGCAGAGCAGGAGCCCACGGCCCTGGGATGCCATTCCCAGCGTGTCCAACACTCCAACACAGTGAATCAGTGCTTTATTTTCAGCATGGAGAGGTACAAGACCAGCAGTGAGCTCCAGGGAAGGAGCTGGTGAGGCAAACTTCCCCTGGTGCCCTCGGATCCGTGGGGTTGAGGCAGAACACGTGGAGAGAAAAGCCCCCAACGTGTCCCTGAGAGCAGCACAGCCCCTCTAAACCCCACAACAGCCTTTCCCCTCTTCGGAGATCCTTGTGTGTCCATTCCAGAGGAGCATTTGGCTCCTGGCACAGGGAGGGAAGGCCACCAATGAGGTGTTGGATTAAGGAGAATCAGTGTGGCAGCACTTGGCAGCACAGACATGATTCCTGGAGCCTGAGCAGTGCCAAGCACAGCCTCCCTGCCACCAGGGCACAGCCAGGAGGAACCTGAGTGCCCCTGGAATTAATTGCACAGTGCTCAATCAGGTGTAAGGCCAGAGCAGAGTGGAGGATGATGATGTGGAACCGTCCCTGCCATGTGCAAGGTGAGCACAGGGGGAAAACACCTGGATGCTGCCCAGTGGGACCATAAAACATCCCTGCCCCAGCACCCTTGGAGGTTTATATAGGGCAGTTCATACCATGATCCCAGCCCAGAATAGCTCCAGGGATTAACCCAGCCCCTGACCTCAGCTAATCCCGAGTTACTCCCTGGAAGTGCCAGCAGAGCCTGGATTGCATCAGTGCCTGCCTGGGGTCTGGACACTGTCCTGCCTCGCTGAAAAGAGCAGCAAAGCCTCCCCAGAGCTGAGCACAGGCACAGGAGCTCCTTGGATGCAGCTGGAACAGCCCCAAGGAGGAGCTGGACCAGGGAAACCAGGGAGGAACCGTGACAGAGAAATCGAGGGGAACTGGAACAGGGAAAAAAACAGAGGCAACCATGGCAGGGAAATCAGGGAATGAAAGCTTGGCAGGGAAATCAAGGGGAAACCGTGTCCAGGAAATCAGGGAAAAACTCGAAGCAGGAGCTTCCCTGGGGTTTCCCTGCTGTGTGAAGCCAGGAGTGAAGGCAGGATCAGCCCAGGGCAGTGCCAGGCACAGCAGCTCGCTTACTTCTCCTTCAGGTCGTTGTCAGCTTTACCTAAAAATGGGGAAGGAACACTCAGGGCTGGCGTTTCTTCCTCAAAACCACCAGCCCGTTTTTTATCTGGGGATATTGCTACACCACATCACCACCATCACAGCCTGACAAGCAGGCCAGCAGCTCATGGCTGGAATTTGGCCTCCTGAGGCTTTTCCTCGAAGTCTTTTCTTCCACAACTTCCCCAGGGAGTGACCAGCAAATCCCCCTCAGTGCCACCACAGAGCCCCCCTGCCCTCGATTTGCACCCCTAAAAACTCAGCCACCCCTCAAAACCCACGGAGACCACTGAGGTCACAGCCAGGAGCTCCAGAGGGAGGTGGGGGATCCTGGAGCTGAGCAAACCGAGCCGGATTTATTCCACCAGCACCTCCCTGGTGTTATCAGCACGGCCAGTGCTGCAAGCAGTGCAGCGAACACAGCGTGCCCCAAAAACCACTCCCAGGGCTGGGACAGCTGCCAAGCCACAGCCGGTACCTTTCGGGACGAATTTCAGCGAGCTGCTGAATATTCAGAAGCGGGACTGGCCCCTCTTGGGCCCATCGTTGAGGAACTCGTGGCCCAGCCCGTTGCCACACTTGCCACACGTCACCTGCAGAAGCAAAGGGAGGGGTTGGCAGCAATGTGGCTTTTCACGGCCTCGTGGAAAACAAGCCCTGGGTTTGTTCCACCGCCGGGCGTGGATTTTTGTTCCATCCCAAGGGGATCCGCACCTTTAAAGCCCCCGGGCGCTCCTCGCGTTTGGCCACGCTGTCCCCGCGCAGGGTCTCGGTGAACGCTGGCCACGGCGACGAGTGCTCGTACTTGGCTCGGCTGGAGAACAGCTCATGGCCACACTTGGCACACACGTAAATACCTGGGGAGGGCGGCACGGGGCGGGTCAGGGCAGGGGACAGTGCGGGGACAGCACAGGGGACACGGGACTTTGCCCACGCGTGTCACTGCCGGACCCCACGGCACCCCCAGGACCAGGCAGGGGGGTGGAGGAGCAGCACCCCCATTGCCCAGAGGGGTTCCCGCAGGGCAGGATCCCCCCCTCAAGGGGCTCCTATAGGGACCGAACCCCCCCAGTCCCCATCGGGGAGGATTCCTGCGCAGAGGGGGGACCCCCACCCGGATTCATGGCTGGAAGGATGCTCCGCAGACGGACAACCCCCCTAAACCGCTCAGCCGGGGGGGTTCCGCCTTGCCGGGGGTCACCGCCTGCCCGCCCCGCTGGGGATCCCCCCGGCTGCACCCCCAGAGCCCGCGGGGAGCCCCTCACCCGGCTGGAAGTGATCCTTGAACACCTCTCCCCCCAGGAAGGAGCAGAAGGACATGGCTGCGCCCGCTGCCCCGGCCCGTTCCGCCGGCCTGGCCTCGCCCCCCGGCACGCCCATACACCGGGGCCACCCCCCCCGTGTCCCTCCCCTCGCCCAGGGCCAACCCCCCCGTGTCCCTCCCCTCGCCCAGGGCCACCCCCCCGTGTCCCTCCCCTCGCCCAGGGCCACCCCCCCCGTGTCCCTCCCTCGGTCACTCCTCCGGGCCCGCCCCTGCCGCTCCGCCCCGCCGCCCGCAGAGGGCGCTGCGGGCCCGGTGGTACCGGGGGGGGGGTCCCGGTACCGGGGGGATCCCACTCCGAACCCCCCTTTATCCTCTGGGGACCCCCGGCCCGGGATGCGGGAGGGATACGGGGGAGATGCGGGGGGGATGAGGGAGGGGATGAGGGCGGATGTGGAGGATGCAGGAGGGGAT